ACGCCGTAGGTCAGCTCCGGTCTGCATCGCCCGCACAGCCACTGCAGCTCTCCTGCAATCGCCTGTGCCTCCTTCACCTTGTCCGGCTGGTTCACGTCGCCCTCGGGGGTGTTCGAGAACTTGGCCGCCGGGGGTGCAGGGACGTCCTCGATGCCGGCGATATCCGCCCGCCTCTCCAAGAAGTCCTGGATGTAACTGTCCTGGTGTATCTCCAGGCCGTCTTCCGTGGTGCGGATCTCGAAGCCATTGAACTTCACCTCCCCTGTTACAGAGGCCCACTCCGGCTCTGTGCAGCGCCATTTCTCCTGGAACATACGACTAACTTCCCGTGCCAGGGCGGCCACCGCAGCTATCAAGAGGTCATCAACGTACACCAAGATGATGCCATGGGTCGTGTTTGCCTCGTGGCCTCCTTCGGTGCCATCATCTTCCGCCGGGAGCAACAGGACATACCAGAGAGACTCATCTGCTCTGCTCTGACGAAAGCAGACGATTTTTCCTCGGAACCGTCCTCGCATGGTTCTCATGGTAGCATCTCTGTACGTGCTCCACGATCTCGGTGAAGTACACAGCCCGTACATCGCCCTGTCCAGTCTCCAAAACTTCTCCTCGCAAATGTTCGCCAAGTTGAACACCCTTGGAACACGTACTATGGTGGGGCGTGCGTCACGATATAGGAGAGGCGCCAACAGGAAAGCAGTTCGGATATCCAGCGCTCCGATGTCCCAAGCTCGCTCAGCGCAAAGTCGGAGACAGCATCGGACCAGAACTCCATCAGCCCCGGCCGCAAACTTCTCCGCCTTCGAGTAGGAGTCCGCAATGTAGTTTCCACAGACCACAGCCCTGGTCTTGAGCCGGCCCGTGAAAGCCTTCCGAGAGTGGACCGTTTTCCCGGGCACCAGGTCGTACTCCTTGCCCTCCCGGTCCCACTGGTCCAGTTGTTCCTGTGTAAAAGGATGAAAGGCTTGATTTTCCAGAGTAAGGCTCTGATACTCCGACACCATGCTCGGGATCCACCGCTCCAACTCCTGCTTCACGACCTCCAGGGGCACGGTCTTGGTATGAAGCGGTGCCTCCTCAGTCAGGGAGGCGTCCATCTTGCGGATCCACCCACACTTCAAGTAGTCCTCCTGGTCCTCGAGCTCCTCGACCATTCCCAGGGCCGCTTCAATCTCCTTGATCTGAGACGTGAAACGACGCAACCTCTCCGAAGTCCCAACGTCCTCGCCGCGATCGACCTCCTCAGCCAAAGCGTCGCGCTCCTCGTGGTCCGTCACCAGAAGGTATAGTCGCTGGGATCGGAGTCCATCGAAGATCTGCTCCCCTCCAATGCCAAGTTGCTCTTCCGAGGCCACCAGAGTCCACTCAACATTCCCAAGCGGATCCGATTCACCCATGATGCCAGGATGCTTCACTGGCTGCAATCTCGAAGCTTCAGGTCCAACCTGAAATCCACAAACGTCACCATCCTCCTCCGGATCATGGCTACACATTCTAACTGCTTCTCCCCCGGAACCAAGATGTCGAAGAGACCCACTTTCATCTGGCCCTCGGAGATCTTCACGGCCTCCCCCGGAACCAAGATGTCGAGGAGACCCACTTTCATCTGGCCCTCGGAGATCTTCACGGCCTCCCCCGGAACCAAGATGTCGAAGAGACCCACTTTCATCTGGCCCTCGGAGATCTTCACGGCCTCCCCCGGAACCAGGATGACGAAGAGCTCTCAGCTTTTCCTCATGTTCGGAAGAGCCTCTCGATTCCAGTCCAAACTTCAAGTCCTCAGGGTCCGAGCCATCCGCAAAATCGCCAATGAAGAAGTGCTGAGGCCCAGACGTCACTCGACACACGCAAAGTGAAGGATCCACTTCATAGCCCTTGCATGTGCACGTGAGTGACTCACTCACTCCCTGGTTGCTCGAGGCGTGGGGGCGACCGCCAATCGCAGTCCCCGCGGAGCCGCGCTGAGGAAGAAGAACTCGGCAACCCTCATAGGCCTCCTCAACCTTCTTTGAGCGCCACTCCGTCGAGGTCACGAAATTTTCTGCACCAGTTCCTCCTTTACACCCATTGTCTCCCCCTTCGTGACAAACACGAACTTGATCGACATTGCCAGGAGGAAGGGGGAAGCCAAGCGTTGTCAGGCGCCGGCGCTGTTGCAGGGTCATGTAAGGGTGACGAGCCACTGTAAAGGCAGACAATGCAACCCGATATCCATCCCAAGTTACTGGACCATGGGGTTGCCTTGGGGAAAAACTAACTGCTTGATGATAGGTAGGGCGGATCCTTCCCAGGGTCCACTTGCCAGCAATCTGCCGCCAAGCCGTGGGGTCGTCCGTGGTCTCTCCCGCATTCAAGGCCGTCCAAAGTTCACCTCCGGCATAGTCTCCAACACCAACTATGTAGCTTTGAGAAGTCAGGTCATTGCTGGAGTCAATATGGGTTACAAGAGGAGTATTGAAGTTGACACTAACGGAGGTGTAGGTGGCTTTCTTGGGGAGAAGCTGCTGCAGAACCTTGTTGATGAACAGGGCCACCTTAGGCCTATTCTTTAAGGAGTTGGTCAGGCCCAAGACGCCGCCATGTCGGAAAAGGCCAAAGGTGTGGACCGCGGCCGGAATCGCAGCAACTGCTGTTCTCACTCTTTGGGGCCTCGTTTGGTCCCGCAATCGAAGCTGGCGGACGAAGTCCTCCAGAGCCTGAGCTCCGAATTCGCCACGATCCAAGAACTTCTGAGCCATGGTCTCGTCCTCATTGACGGTTGCTTCCATTTCGAGGGCTGCAACCCGCTGCTTGCCAGTCACCCGGCGTCGCGGAATCATTTTAGGCGATGCTCCTTCTGCCGCATGTTCCGGAGGCACCGCAAAGTTGCCACTGATCTCCTCCACGTGCTCCACGGCCACAGTGGTGGTGAGGTAGGTGTTCTCGCCCGTCTTGACCAGAAAGCCTCGAGCGACATCCGCGGAGGGGCACAGCACCGTTGCGGGTATCACCTTCTCCTCCCACTCCTGGTATCGGTTCGTCCAGGACCGTTTCTTGACGAACACCTTGGTTGCAAAGGGAGGCAAGGTTGGCTGCTTGATGCCCAACTGCTGAAGGAGGTCCGCCTCCGCGCGAGCCACTACATGCCTCATCGCAAACGCCCAGTGATCCGCCCCAAGAGCTGACGCGGCCAATAAAGTTCTGGTAGCTGACTTCAGTCTCCCAACCATAGCCTCGCAGCGGCCATTCATCTTGAAATCATCCGCACTGGTAGTAGTACGGATCAGCCCTCGATGTGCACAATATCGCTTCATCGCCATGTTCACGAATTCACGCCCTCTGTCAGAGTGCACTCTCCGAACACATAGACCCATGGCCTTTATCTTGGTGAGGATCTCGGTAATGCCATCCATCACGACAGGAGCGGCCTTGGATGGGAGCGGGATCATGAAGGGCAACTCAAGAACCTTGCCGCCTTCCACCTTCTCCTTGCGGGCAATCTCCTCCCACCTCGCCATCTCATCCTCGACGGCATCATCATCCGCATCCCCATCTTCATTGTCCGCCTCTCCGCCCTCCATGACGAAGGCATCATCCTCTAGAGGGACCTCCGGTCCGTCGTCATCCTCCTGGAAGTAGGCCTTGAGGTTCCCGACAATGTCCGGCACCACGAGAACTCCAATCAGTGCATACTTGACCTGGGTCCAAACTCCGAAAGGCCATTCTTGATCGGTCCAACGCAGTCAACAGACAGGGTCCATCCATCAGGTACGGCAACGCGCCGATGTTGATGCCCCCGGAAGTACCCAGCCAAGCACGCTCGACAATCACGTCGGTAAGGCACATGATCTCGTCGAAGATGGTCCAGGAACCCTCGATCAAGCCTCCTGATCATCGCATAGGCCTTTCCCCGTCCCAATGATTCATGGAGGATGCCCCTGATGATGTTCTTTAAGCCCGGTGCCCAAGCTGCCCATGCCGCAGACCGGAAGCCACCGTCATACTCTGCAACCTCCTCCTTCGGCACAGTGGAGCGTCCACGTAGTCCATGAAGACCATCTGGGGGATCGCGGTTCGCAAGGATGCAAGTGGGTTTCCTCCGCGGGTGTCCAAGAGGGCCCTGGTCAAACTCCCACTTTTTCAATCCCAAGGTTCATCAGGAACTCGATCTCGGGCCATGTCCAAATGGAGGGATAATCGGTGCCATCGCCCGCGCCGTCCATATACTCTTCCGGGTCTCCCGGATGCTCCATCAAGAAGGTGGGGCTCATCTTCCTCCTTCTCCTCGCTTCCACCTCGGCCAGCAGCTGTAGGAAGATCCTCCGAAAGATCAGCACGCAGTCACCCTTGACCCTTCTCAACTCCCAATCCGTCAGCCCCTCCAAGGCAAACCTTTCCGGTCCATATCGAGCACGAAGAGGGCGAGGCCCACCTCCCGACACATCTAGAACGAAGTGCCTAAGGACCGTGAAGGTCCGACACGGAGGCCCTCCAAACAGCATATCCAGTTTGCCTGAACATGCCACATCCAGCAACGCGGCGTAAGCGCTATCATCAAGGAGGTTCTCCGCCTGGTCCACATTGATCACGTGGCTCTGGTCGTCCTCCGCCTTCCAGAAACGTCGATCTTTACCACAAAACAGGTGGATGGCGAGCGAAGATGCCTGCCTCCATTTTTTCCTCTCTCGACGATTCCAGGGCACTCTGGGTCCATCCATCCCAGACTTCACTGGAATCGCTGCCAACAACCACGAAGGAGCCTGAGGGAACATCCGCGCCAACCATTTGTAGGCCTCGTCCGTGCTGTTGGGCAGAGAGTCCACCACCTTTTTTCCCTGCTCCCAAAAATCCATGTCTCCAACATGAGCTCGAAGTTCCCGAACATAAACCTCAGCTTCAGCTCGACTCTTTTTTACACCTCCTTGATAAGCTCCAGCCCAAGACCGTAGTCCACCTCCGGACAGCCATCAGCCATTCGAACCGGCAGCCATCCAATCCGGGGATGCCAAACCTTACACCCTTCACTGGATGTCCAAGTGACCCGACACCCAATCTCCATCAAATCGACCATCGCCAAGATAGGAGCAACGCTCTCCAACGTCAGGAGCCTCATTCACATAAAAATAAGTTTCCCCAACCGCCAGCTTCACGGTACGACAAGGAAGTCCACGAACTTCATCCTCCGAGCTCGCCCTCCTCATCGACGTGGTGGCTCCACCATCCACCAGACACTTGCCTTCGCCATCCCCGGTCAACTTTGCCAGCCTCATAGACTTCAGGACCTTGGTGGCCTCCTGAAGGAACTCCTGCTGAGAAGATGCCGAGGCCGACGCATTTCCTGAAGGCACCACAGTCCCCTGATAAGACGAGGACAAAGGTTCTCCTGCCGGCTTCGGTCCCTCCGGCTTCTCCTCCTCCGCCTTGCGCACTGCTTCCTTTTTTGGCTTCCGCTTGGGCTGCTTCTTTGGTTTTGGTTCTTCATGTCCGCCTCCTCCACCAGACGGCTGATCTCCCCCCTGGTGCCCTTCAGCACCAGCCGTGGTCGTCTGCCCATATGGACACTGTGGCTTCATATGCTCGGAGCTTCCACAGACCCAACATCGACCCGGTCCAAGAGGATCATGCGCAAAGCTACAAGCTAACCCAAAGCGACACCCAGAACCATCAGTCCATTTCCAGCACGGCTTGGCTCCGGCCTTGGATTTGCTCTTGCTCTTGCCCTTGCCCTTGACATTGCCGTCGACATCCTGCGCTTCCTGGAAGGCAGCAACTTTGGGGACCGGAGCAGGGGCAAGGGCCAACACTGCAGCCTCTAACTCTCCAAGAATCATCTGCGCAAAGTCCAATACCCCTGATTCAGTAGGCTTGTAATCAAGTTGACGCTCCAGCTTAAAGGAAGCAATACGAAACGTTGATGACGACTGCGTCTTGCCCTCCGCAAGGACCTTTGAAATCAAGCGATCTAGCCCTCGAACAAGCAGCTGAGGGTCAGGAAGTATCACTTGAAGTTCTTTGCCCCTACGAAAAAGACGTATCCACTTTCTGGCTAAGGTAACTCCAGAATCCAAGTTTGTGGCTACTTCAGGAGTTGTGAGAAACTGTTGAAGATGATGCTTCTCCCCAGCTCCTCCCGGTTGATAGCAGCAAAGTGTAAGAAACAACATACCCTTGACTGACGTAGCCCGAGTGGATATCGCCTCCGCCTTCAGATCCTCTGGCAGACACTCAAGAAGCAACATAGCGGCTCGCTGCTCAACTCTCTGGAACCTATCCAAAGGAGGAACATCAGCAAGAACCTTTTGGCGAAGGTTCAATCTCACAATAGGGGAACTCTCCAACCATGCCGCATATGCAGTCATCACGCTTTGAAGTAACTCTCTCCACCAAGTAGCCGCGCCTGGAGACAGTGTAGCCATGGATGGGGCCAGCTGTGCCAACCAGTCGCCTGCCATCACTGCCGCGTCTCCGCCCGTAGTGCCCTTCACAGACGGCAGGCAGGGGAGCTTGTTCACTAACTTGGAAGGTTCTTCAATATTGTCCGGTGGGGATGCTGGTACAGGAGTGCCTCCAGGAGTTCGACTTGCAGTAGTTGAAAGTCCATACGGGATTGCTCTTGGCATACTCTTTGGGGTCATAGGAGGTGATGGTGGTGGAGGCCCAGGAGGTGGTCTCGGACGATCATGACTCGCATCCCTCCTGTTCTGGATTTCCATGGAGGACTGCACTTCCACCACCAATTTACCCCCAAAGCAAACATAAGGCAGCCGGTGACCCTCTACGTTGACAAAGCCTCTCTGACCTTCAGCTGTGGGGACCCCCTCCACGTACAATCCACACCCAGGAGATACGTTATATTGCCAAAGGCCCCCACTCGAAGAAGTCTGCGGCAATCCTGTCTGTGTTCCCGACGTCAGACCTGCCAAGCACATATCTCTATCAGCTTCAGGGGGACCCCAGCCCATGACTCCACCTATTGCAGTTGACATAGGCAGACATGATCCCGGGGACATTAAGGACACACCCGAAGGACCCGTACAAGATGACATTCCTAAACAGGATCCTATCGGGGCACTCATGGGACCCATGTTCGGTATACACGACCCCGGAGTAGCGAAAGATTGCCCCTCTATAGGCAAGGTCGATCCCGGAGCAGTGCAAGACGCACAGGGCATACTCAAGCATGGCCTCCCGGTCAACAAGGCCCCCGTCGTGGAACCCAGTGCCGTGTCAACTCCTTCTCCTCCTCGTCCAGCACTTCCCGCCGCACCGGCGTGAGTCTGCCTCTCAGGTGGCCAGAAGTACCCAAGGGTTGAAGGAGGAGGAGGAGGGATCTCCCCATTCATCCTCTCATACTCGAAGTCCATGGCCGAAGAAGTCTGGGGCAATCCTGTCTGTGTTCCAGAAGTCCACCTTTCTCCCACACCAGTCTGCTCCAAATTCCCTTGGGGCCCCATTAGCCCTCCAGGAATCACCCTTCGAGCCTCTTCAGCCCGCCGTCTGGCCGTTTCACTATCATCACTGCTGAAGGTGCCAGCCATGATGCGTTCCGCCGAAGCCAGAGGTCTCTCCACCAAGAAGGGTCTCCCTTCTCTGAAGGTTGACTCTGCGTTCAAACTGAGCTGGTGAAGCTGTCCCTCGATCCCATCCGAGGTGGGCGTGCTCGAACGATTCGAGCTTCGCTGTTGCTCCAATGATGCCATCCTCCCCAGAAGAGAAGACAGCACCGTTCCCATCGCATCAAGGGACTTAGCAATGTAGGAAGTGCCGGATGCTTCTCCCACCGCCGCTGCCACCTTCGACTCCAATGGTCCAGGAGGAACGTCACCATGGAATCCAGGAGGTAGGTCAGGCATCTGAGTCGAAACAACCAGGCCCTCTGCCGCCTGTCCAATTCCTGTGGAACCCATATCTGCTGCAGAGCCAGCTGCATCTCCACCATCAAGGACGTCTCGAGGATCCACCAGCTGCGGTAGGCAGTCCGCATCTGCTCCTCCAAGAATCTCCGCTCCAGTAGGCTCCATTGCCAAACGACCCGCCTCATCATCACGAGTATGGCTTTCGGCTGGCTGAGGGGCATCCCTTCCACCCGGTTGATCTTCACGCTCTGGGCTTGGGAAGTCATAGTACATGGGATGGAGCTCAAGATCCTGCACCCTTACCTCACGCCTATGATGGCTATCGCCAGACGAGTCACCTCCAACAGATCGTGCTCTACGACGTCTGAGGGGGTCCATCATCAAGCTAAGGCCTTCAATCTAAGCAGTTGGGCTCATAACCTGTGTGCGGAGCATCGCACTTGTTTGATCTCAAAAACAGCCTTGGGTATGCACGTCCTTGCGTTAGACTCACAAAGTCCCTCTAAGAAGGTGCTGTTCAGACCTGTGCACAAACACTCACTGCAGAACACAAGCGGGGGTTATATCCGGATACTGGAAAAGAAAACGGAAGCTACTACAGAGGTTCTGGGCTTCAGGTTTTCGGGCGTAGCATCCAGGACTTGAAGTTCTGGGGCCTACATTTGTTTGTGCTGCGGCAGTTACGAAGCGTTTTGAGTTTACGCTGTGGCTAGAGGAGGCATGAAAAGGGGTACTGTAATGCGCGTGTGACTCTCTCACATTCTGAGGACATAAGGGCCGCTGCTTGTTCGTAAGAAGTACCGACCCAGCTTAGATGAAGCTCCATGTTCATTTGGGGCAGTAAACAATCGGCACCTGGTCCAGTTTTGGAGGGCGCGGCCGCAATGTCCCCAACCCACGAGGTCAAGAAAGCAGCCACCCAATTCCTAAAGAATTTCAATGAAAGACAGCAGTTGCAGCTGCAGGGCAAAAAGGAGTAGGATCAGGTTGCAGCTTAACTCTCTTAAGCAGTCCATCAAGATGCAAAATAATTCGCAGTTGTGCATAACAAATCCTGAGCCCAGACCCCTTTTGTGCCGCAATGTCGAAACCTGCCCTTTGACTCTCCGCGACCCTTCATCCCTGCACCGCAAGCAACTGGCGCCCCACACGCAACAGATCCTTCATCGAAACCCTGGAGGCCATGATAGATAAATCTCTCTAACGAAGGTTTTACAAGGTCATCTAGCTACCGGCGGCCAAATGTGAAAGGATAGCCCCATGAGACCCTAAACCGCTATGTCTGCGACCTGAAAGCTGCCGCCTGTTTTGGGCGGCAGTCCTCCGCACATCTGTTGCGGGGAATGTGATGATGGTACAGATTCTACACAGTGGATCTAGATCTAAATCGAATCCATGCCTGGGCATTACTGCTTGTCTGGGGGGGGGCGCAAGCATGACATGTTTACAAAATGTTTTACTTAGAGCTTTGAAACCTTGAAGGCTTTGAGGCTTTCGAGTGTAGACTTCTATCAAGAACTGACAATTTCAGAGGCGACATACCCGGCCTGTTCCTGTCCCCACAGAATATGATATGTATAAACGAGTTACCAAGTCCATCACAAACACAAGCGAACAAATGCAAAGTCTGCATTGCTGGAGGATCCATCCAGTGAAAGCCAGAAAAGCCATGCAAGTCATGACCCTCAGCTGGGCACCCTAAGGATGTTGAAGTGTTGATAGGACTCCCTCAGGTAGGGCTCCGGCCACTGCACTGATAATTTTTCGCATGATGCACATTTATACATCCACAGCAAAGTTTCCACCCACCCTGAAGAATCAAGCCTGTCTAAACACAATGCCGCGACGCACAATTAAAATTCTACAGAAATCTTCTCAATCTGGGTATAAGTTCCCATGGAAGAAAGTGAAAGCTTTCCCAAGTCTATCACCCGCTCCGCCCACTCACCTTTCAACTATCACGGTATCAGCGGAGGGTCCTTGTCAAGGCTAAAGAGACCCGCCCCCCCCGCTCGAGAGAGCCAAAATTTCGGTGAGTTGCCATGAAGGCTGGCAGAGAGGCCACATGGGGGTTTCCAAAAAAGGGGGTACCCTAAACCCTAAAACCTTAAACCCTAAACCCTTTTGCAACAGCAAAACCCTAAACCGCAAACCCGTAAATAAAGAAGTGCCCGGAAGCTTTACCTAGGAGAATTTTAACCTAGGTCTAAACAAACCACACCAAAATTGTAAACCCGAATGCCCCGCACCGCTTCTCTGAAGTAGGTGAATCACTCTTGAAACAAGTCCTGCCAAGGCAATCAAATCGCGGGAGACTGCGGGACTGACCCTGAACCCTAAGCTAGAAAATGTAGTTTCCATTTTATTTGCCATTCTCTCAATATGACCCCTATATTATATTTTTTGAGAATATACTATCGTGTATTATCGTATACTTTCATAAATCATGATACTGCTTCACCAAAGCTGGCTTTAGGACTCAGGCCCTGCCCAGACAGCCCAATATAGCATCGTTTTCAAGGTAATTTAGAATAATTTCAACTCCCAGTATAAGGCCATTTTGGTACTTCTCCCTTTATAAACCACCATTTAGGGTGAGGTCAGGTGAGCTCGCTTTGAATTGCCTAGGAGTTTTGTGGTTTTTTAAAGAGTCCAGCCTTCAACTAAAAACGAAAAGTGTGGGTTGGCTACGGGTCTCATTTTCGACACAGCAGAAGTGCATTTGGACTGTTGGGTGGCTGTTACAGGGACAGATTGTGCGGGAATCTAATGGGAAGTGTTCCAGCTCCAAATGCATCGGGGTTGGTGGTTGATGCGGGCACGGTGGAACTTGGACCTTTCTCTACATTTCCCTACAGGTAGACAGGTAGGATAGGGGTCCTGCGGGATCCACCTTTTCCTACTGCTGTTCGCTTACCTGCCTGAAGAGCAACTCGGGCACGCCCATCAAAATTTATGATAGTATACTATAATACACTATATTCTATAGTACTATGGTATAATATAGGGGTCACGTTGAGAGAACGGAAAATAAAATGGAAACTACTATTTATGGCTTAGGGTTTACAGATGCATGACTCACTCTCGAGGCATTGGCATACTTGATCAACATCTTTGCAGGTTTTGCAGAAGGACCGCTGGTTTTAAGAAGAGCCCATACATTCGAGCTCCAGGTGGGTACATTTCAGTTCCAAATGCGAATGATGACCTGGAAGTTTGATAATAAAACATGCAACCCGCTTGAAGCCCAATTCCTTCCCAAATTACCCTATAGCATCCGGGCGCATGAAAACTGACGCCCTGCTCCATCCTCACCGCAAACCATACACCTAAACCCTAAATACTAGTTTCCGGTTCTCTTCCATTATCCTTATATATCCCTATATAACCCCTATATATCCCTATATAACCCCTATATATCCCAGAAGGGTCTCTCTCCTTTTTCATGGCAATTGAAATCTGGACCAATCGATCCGAACCCGCTTGCCATCCCAGGTCATGCCGTCGATCCTTCGGGGACTTTGCAGTAAAATAGAAATTATGATATAATGTACTCTAGTACAGTGGAATATACTGTATTATAGAATAGTATAGGGGTTATATTGAGATAGTGGGAAATAAAATGGAGACTACTATTTATGGGTTAGGGGTCCTCCATGAAAAGACATGAAAAGCCCCAAGGGCAGCATCAAAGCTCCATGAGGGTACTAACGTTTTCAGCATCATATTATTGTTTGAATGCGGTTTGCTGGTAGCAGGGAATAAAGGTAAGGGGGCACCCAAAGTACTACTTGCTTGCACGTCACCTTGGTATCCAGTAGCGACTTGCACGCTAGCCTTGTTGCCCCACGACTTTCGATCCCCCCAGAGGAGTGTACCATGACAATTACACAGCATGTATAGCAATTTGCTGGGCGCCGTCTGTGGCATGACACCTGGCAGTGTTGGACCACGTGGGCATGCGTAGAATATTTGCCAGCAAGGGCATGAAAACAAGACTCTCCAATCTTATGGTCGCTTGGACCACTTAGGAACGACGAGTCTAGATGGGCATTTTGCAGGTTGTTGACAGTTCACTTCGGTGATGCTCGATTGGCCCGCTGGCTATCACCATGTCACTATGTAAACAGGGCGTCTTGGCATGCCAGTTGGAAATTGCATCAAATGGATCCTGAGATATCCTGAGTATTCGGACTTTGGGTCGGAATCGGATCCCATAGCACATGATTATGCTTACCCTGGAAGCCCTCAGCCCCATGCCCTGCAGGGACGTTTCCCGATACTACTGGTCAATCTGAGAGACCCCATGACAATGAAGGTCCTAATCTTCAGATGCCTATTATTATGACACAATTTCAGGGATCAATTGCTTGGCAGCGCACCACGGAACACGAGAGGGAGGCTCATCCTTGCACAGAGAAAGTCATACAACTGTTGATAAGGGCCTGAGACGGCCAGTCCGGGATTTTATACAACGAAGAAGCTTTGGTGATTGGTTTTTCGTTTTCAAAGACGTTCAACACCTCTAGCATCATCCTAAGCAGAGGCGCAAGACACTTGTGAAGCCTGTGCGGAATGTGGCAAATCAGACATGGCATCGTGAAATTGCAAATTCCCCCGCACCCCAAGCCCACTATCTCCTAAAGTCACTGCTAGTCACATCCTTGTCTGACCCATCTGCTACAGCCAGATGATGCCAGATGCACCGCTTCATCGGATACTTTCTGAGGAGCCTGCGAGCGGTAGTTTCGCTTGCACATTGGCCTGGGCACGTTCAAAGCGGTTCGGGGTGGGTTTGCACTTACATATGACTCTCACAAAGCTGATTCTATGATTCTCCATTGGGTTGATGTAGTGTGTAGTGAAGTCTGATAATTCACAAGAACTGGGCAAATCTTTTGGGAAGCCACTACCTCAACGGACGTTGACTTCGTGGCTCAAGGTGCTTAGCTCGTGTCTCTGACGGTGAGTCGGTCATGCAAGACTGAAGACAGGAATGAAAGCTTGCCTCGCCTGATTCATGCAAAGCATAAAAGGGCTGAAATGGGAACCCCAAACAGGGAATCCCAAGAATGTAGTAGGAAATAATAGTACGGACCCTGGTAGGTACATTCCTATTATATTTCTACTATATTCTTGGGGTTCCCTGTTTGAGGTTCCCAGTAAAGTCCCTTTAAGGCAGGGCTAGGGGACAACCAAGAAACACCTGGCACAGCAAGCTGATGTCACTTCCACAGTTACTTTGTTACCTCATCAACATACCGTTTCAAGCA